AGCGCGACGCCCAAAAGGGGTCTTCTGGCTTTACGAAGGCTCAATGTTTTGCTGCAGAAGTGAAGAGTACAAGGAGCAAAATCGGATTAATAAGGAAATCGAAAAGCAGTTAAAACGAGATANAGATAAAAAGGATGCACGAAGAGAGTTCAAATTACTCCTTTTGGGTATGTTCGTTAATGTGATGCAGTCATTTCTTACCGATTTGTAAAATTCACAAGTAATTGATTGTTATTTGTGGTCATTATGAATTTTCTTCTGATGAAAAACTCGCTTGCCATTCCGTGAATACTTTTAGTTAGCCGTCGATCCGATGGTTTGCTATGTTGGTGTCCCAACGAGGGCTTATCATAAACAATAATTTGTGTTTGCACATTGCCTTTTTGGTTGTCAACCATGTGATAGTTTAGCTTGTTTTCAGAAAAAGGTTTGCTACCAAACAGAGATTCTCAGGGCAAGCGCAAATCTGTTAGTAAATAACTTATGGCTAGATGTTGGCTTTCCGTTTTCTCATAGCGCTTTTATTTTCGCGTTTTTTTCAATAATTATCACTTCTTTATCGTTGTTGGTGTATACAATAAACATTCGGGATATAATAGATGTGACGCCCATATATCTATATATTTTTCAACGGCTTCAGAACAGACATGGTGCCAACGCAAAAACAATAATGATTCGAGTACGAAAAGAAGTAATGAAAATGTGGGAAACGGAACAGAGAGAGCCAAGTTATAAATGAGTAGTTTGTATAGTTTCACCGTACAAATTTTGAGGTTTTTTTATTCTGTTATGGGCGCCGGGAGTTCGACAAACAAGTCACATAGTATTCAGTCCATTTATTTCTGTTCTTAGCCATATCAATATCTCTAATCATCGGTAATCCCCATCTCTTTGACCCCGGCCTGAAAAGCGAGGTGCACTAACCTAAGTCAATGCAGAGGCTGATTTCTTCATACCTCTACGTCGGGTCACGGTCTGACCGCCGCGGCTCTTCTTCGAACCAGCACGTGCAAAGAGAGTACGGAGAGGTAGACGATGGGCAAGCATCTGCAAAACATAAACGAGCCATCGGAGGTTGTGTAGAGCGATTACTTCCGCTAGAGAACTACTATCAGTACCCAGCTTACGGTGACGAATTTCTTCCACCGACCACGCGATGTTCCCATCAGGCACGAACAGTGCTTCGAAGTCATCGGTGGTCATATAGAAAAAGTCGATTAGCACTTTCCACGCGGAGTGGTCAGATCTCGCAACTGTAAAGCAAGATACTACGCACCGCGGCGATGTACACCCTTCCCTTAAGGGACAGTCAAATGCCATGGAGGCGAAAACACCAGCACCAGCTGCGATCAAGCTTCCGAGGTACTTAAAGCCTTGAACTGCTTCCCTTTTCTTACCGCAGAGGGTAGGTGTAGGCACAGGCTCCTACCAGTCTAGAACGAACACTTATCACTTGTATGATGCCAAGCACACCATACCTGGGTATCTGTATCGCCAAGCGGCATAAAGCGTGTTGGATCGCCAGTATATTGTTACCCAACAAGGCGATGTCATCGGCATATTCTAAGTCAAGAACTCTGTTCCCTGGGAGGATTTCCGCTACACCGTTTGCTTGACCGGACAAAGCATTCTGTAGAATATCCTGATTGGAAAATTTTCAAAGGAATGGGATATGGAGTAACCTTGTCGAAGGGTGGCGAAATCTGGCCATAGGTCCTAACCCGACCTGAGGTATAACGGTACGACTATTTTAGAATCGACACACTTCTCAGTTACGCAGTTCCCCAAGAAACAGTTCCATAGTGCGGCCCTGTCGGTGGGGTCAAAGGCCGCGCGAATGTCTAATGTCATTGGTCTTTGACAACATATCTGTATGCTGATAAGCTTCATTCTGGAAGGCTGGGTAACAACATGTTGATAGAAAGCCCTTTCAACGGTCTTGGGCCTCAACTGCCCAATGTTTTCACTCTAGTTCTGTACCAATGATGGCTCTCCACAAGAAAGAAAAGCTACCGGAACCGGATCATTTGTCTCTGGCATGACAATGGGGTATTTTTATTTTCACACGGGTCTAAATTCAGACTGCGTGCCGAACAAATCGCGGTACAATAATCTTTATAAAAAGGAATACTTTCCACGATTTGCATGTGGGCTGAATACTTCCAGGTTGTCCAGGCCAAGGCAGGTGAATTGTATTGAAGAATCCACAAACGGAGCCTTCGGCTAGCCTGACCCGCAAAGCAGCGAGGCGGTGTGAAAACCGCAATCCATTGGGAGCCGGTGTCCAATTTATCGAATCATTCGCCCTCTGGACGGGGTCAAACGTCCAAGGTGCCCAATAAACCCCAATGCCCAGTTGAGCCGGTGACCACTGCCACAACCGGGAGGGTGTGTGGCTCGTGCGCCTCTTGGTTTGTTTGGAATCAAGGTTTTTGGCCAATTCCCCTAAGTAAACTACCAGTGGTCCCCACAAAGGTGTGTAAATAAATAAAAAAGACCATGGATAGAATGAATTCCCCGGATTTCAACGTTCGCTGTTACCATACCAGGTCATATTTTCCGCTGACCTCGTTAAACAAGGGCAAGCTGGCGTTTGACCGAATTAGAGTAGAATGTTAGTATTAGTTGTAAAGCCAAATCATTCATTCGCGGATGTTGGTGTCAAATGAAGTTTAATAATCTTTGGATTTTTAGGTATGATACCGATTTTTGTCTTTTGCTCTCTGAATTAATTGGCCATTTAGAGGCACCAGTCGCAGAAGACGCTTAGTTTGCTGATATCCTCTTCATGTTCCAGGTTCCCCAGATGTACTTAATCACTGGGTGGATGGTGGCTTAGAACAGTGTTGTCGAATGATAATTGATCCATGCATGTAAATAGTTTTGAAGATCACAAGGAAAGTGCTTTTCATGTGGCCGATGCTGACGGAATTTTCGTTTTTGGTTTGCTCAGTCAATATAGTTGCTGGAACCAGGACCTTGAAGGCCGTGGCACGTTACAACCATCTTTGCTAAGTGAACTATCTGAGTACGGAAACAAGTTTAACTGGTTATCTCCTCCCCAACCCTTTTTCGAAGATGCCAACATCTGGAGTTTAATTAGTATCAACGTCCTCTAATGACTGATTCGTCATCCACTTTACCGCACAGTTCAGAATGAGAAACGACTCACGTCTAGGAATCCTAGTAGTACTCATAATAATAGTAATATTTTCACATTCCTTTGTTAAATATGCAGCTATTCAAGCAAATTTCAGATAAGAGGTGGGTTTTGTAGCCGCGCAGGTGTTGCTCCGGGACAGGAGAATGAGAGTCGGGAGGCAGTGGTGAGATTACTTACCATATTGTCATGTAGGTGGTGGTGGCGCAGTGGTTTAGTCGCTGTCACCGGCGTGCTTTAGACTCCATGGTCCAGGGTTCGAGCCCCGCCACCCGACTTTGGCGGTAGACAGCTCTGCTGTCGTCCGGTTCAATACCACACCCTAACTATCAATGCCTTATGTGGTTTACCACTCCAAGTCCCGGGGCTTAGGTTACCGNTTTCCATCACTGAACAGCAGGTCCTCGTGATTATGGGGTTCCACCCCGTCTGCTGCTCATCACACGAAAGTGTGTAATAAAAACAAAAGGAGCTCATAATGTGGAATAATAATCTTTCGATGAGTTTGTTGATTCTGTTGCCATTTCACTGTCTTACGTGATTTTCTACATGCATTCTCCTGCTGAATTAAATACTACGGAATTCAATAACAGTGTTAGTTGGCGGTTGAAACTTTGCATTCGGTGACCCTTACCTGGCCTTCTGTATTTGTACCCAAGCTTCGTCCTAAATTCTCCTGTTGCGGGCGATGTAGTTGCCAGAACTGGAGACAAGTTCTTTGCTTCCGCAGTTATACTAATGTTGGGAGCAAGAGAAACCCAGTTCCGTAACATTTTACTCTTGGAAAGTGCAAAGGGTATACCGAACGCAGCGAGACTATCACTCAAACCATCCAGGAAGACTTGCTGGATCTTCATTCGGTGGTACAATGAGACCGATACTGCACCATATATTGTATACAGCTTTTGCCTTAGGAATTTAGACAATGCTATTCGTAGTCATATTTCACAAGTTCTAGTCCAGTGACTAAGGCACGAATTCATGGAAAATAATTGAAAGATCGTGACAAAACTGAGAAATCGAAAGAATAAATACGATCAGAGTTTTAAGTTTAGTAGCAGATCCGCCGCTCGACGGCTTAGAGATGTTGAACATTGTTGCTAACCGTGGTACATCAACTCTAAATCCTAGCCAGGAAACCGAAAAGGACCCACTAGGACCATGGAAATAGTACTTTCCCCACACTTGCTATCAACGTTCATTCGACCCCATTTAATACGCCGTTCAAATATGAAATCCTTAGTTAAACCGCCACAGGAAGGGTCTAGAACGTCCGCAAAAGGTTGTCAGCAAAAATGGTAAAAAAGCTGCATAACAAAACATACTCTGAAAGACAGCAAATATTGTGGCCTTACTCTTCTCAATATCGTCTACTTCGGGGGTTCTAATCTTGATATATCACATATTGCATCAACCCAACCAACCTTGCCGTTCTGTGTTGACTCTATCTCTCAGGAAGCCAGTGTATCACAATGCGATCACTGCACGACTACAAAGTAGACATCCCTTGTCTGTCCGAAGTCCGACTACCTAACTGTGGCACAAAACTAAATAACGTACCACATAGCAGCGCAACCTACTGGTTATACCACAGCGGTCCAACTGACAACTTCGTTTTGCATCACCGTGAGTGGCCGGGCCAACAATGCCATGATCTCCTGGGAAACAATCTCTCCCAGGGTTGCATAGCGCACTTCAGGGGTAAGCCGTTTAACCTAACTGTCATCGCTGTATATGCTCCGACGTTACATGCGGAAGACCCCATCAAAGACGACTTCTACAACCAAGTTAAAGACACAGTAAACCGAAGCCCGACACACGGCATTCTCCTATCGCAGGAGACTGGCATGCACGCACTGGTCCATCAGACGAACATGTTCTAAGAAAGTTCGGCCTTGATCGACGTTGCGAAAATGGCGAACCCGTAGTCACATTTGCTGACCTTAACTTGCTGGTAGTGGCCAACACTCGTTTTCAGCACCCCAGAAAACACCTACTTACGTGGTACTCAAATGATGTTCGAACGGCACACCAAATTGATTATAGTTTGGCACGTGCTCGCTGGGCCTCTTCGGTGGAAGACCGCCATTCTTATCGCGGCGCTGAAGCTGGAAACAAGAACGACAAGGACCATATCCTTGTACGCGCCCGCATCAAGATCCACCTAACTGCTCACTGGAAGACTCGTCTCCTGGACAAAATCAACGTCGCGCTCTTGGAACGACCTGAGAGAAGACTATCGCTGATGGACGCAACCGCTTCCAACATAGCCGCAACTTTCTTCGATGACTCAACTGTTGACGCACAGTGGTCCACACTAAAATCGTCCATCAGAAGCGGCGCTGGAGCAGTTAGGTAAGATTCTTCTCCACAAGAGAGACTGGATCTCCGAGCGTACACTGCAGTTGTCCGCAAAGGCATGAGATACATGGTTGATCAGTTCTCCTGAATTTCGTATTCTCCGTCGCCAGGCCATACGCCCGGCCAAGAGAGACCGTAAACAATACTGGAAGGCGATTGCAGACAAAATGGAGACAGCAACCGTCGCAGCGCATTTTGGAAAGCTATTCCGTCTAATCCGTGTCGCAGCAGGAAAGAAGCAGACATCGGAACCTCTGTTGCGCAGCACCACAGGCCAACTTATTCAAGGAACTGATCGAAAATGCAAAGGTGGGTTGAACAATTCGACGGGCTGCTCAACCGCCCATCAAACCAACCTGGCTCTCCATGTGTCGAGCAGTTCGGAGACTTACGGCAACAATCGTTACTCACCTAGTACAACAGAAACCATCAATACAGTCATTTCTCTGAAAAGCAGGAAGGCCCCTGGAGAAGACGGGATACCACCAGAGTTATTCAAAGCTTGCTTACCAACTCTGATCGATCCGCTGCACTCTCTTTTCCACACCATTTGGGAAAGAGAAGCTTTTCCAAGACATAAGGCAGCTTCAATTATAGTCCCGGTTTCAAAAATGGTGACAGATCTAGATGCAAAAATATTAGCCTGATTGGTATTGTGCCCAAATTGTTTGCAGTGATACTGCTTGATCGCTTCGCAGTCGTCAGAGGTACTCGCATTCGTCCGGACTAAGAGGGTTTCACCGCGGAAGAGGCTATGTTGAATAAATCTTCATTCTCCGTAGGTTTCTAGAACATCGCTATAAGTTCCAACAGCCTACCCCAGCATGTTTCATTGATTTCCGCTCTGTGTTTGACTCTGCCGATCATTGTGGTGCATATTGCGGTCCGACGGGATGCCTGAGAAGTTTATCAGGCTTTAAAGTCATAGTACTCAGGAACCCGGGCACGCGTCCGTAATTATGGAAAAGAACCAGCTGATTTTACCCTAAGCCCCGGAATCAAACAACGTTGTTCCCTATCGTCGGTGTTATTCAATTACATCATAGATTGGATAATGCGACAAGCACTCATCGACTACTCTGGAGTGCACCTTGGCCCAGATACATGGATTGCGGACCTCCAGTTTGCCGATGATGTCGTACTTGGAGGCAGCATGGACAACCTCCAGCCTTTTGTCAGTCGTATAAATCTGTTTGCCCAGTCCATTGGGCTGGAGATCAACACGTCGAAAACAAAGACATTTTCGACCGAAGCTTATACCACGACACAACCCCTCTCGATTAGCGGGGAGCTTGTCGAATTAACCGAAATTTTCAAGTATCTTGGCTCTACGGTAAGACCAAACGGCCAGGCTAAGGGTGAAATCCAATTCCGTGTAGATGGAGCTAGAAGAGCCTTTCTACATCTCCTCAAACCGTTGTGGAATCGATGCGAAATAAACCTAAACACTAAGCTTCGGGTTTACCAGGCTTCTATCCACCCGATCCTCACTCATTCTTGTGAAACCTGGCCACTAAGAGTACAAGATATAAGGAAGCTCGAAGTCTTTGATCATTGGTGCTTACGCCGCATTTTGAAAGTAAATTGGAGAGATCGGATTTCCAATGATGAGGTTCGACGGCGCTGCTTGAACATTGACAAACTTTCAAAAATGCTACAACGCCGGCGCCTTCAGTGGTTTGGCCATGTGCTCCGAAGGCCCGACACTCAGCTCTCGCGAAAAGCTGTATCCCCCGTACCGTGCCGTGGATGGCGTTGCCGACTCGGTGGTCAATTGAAGACCTAGAGCTGTACGATCAAGGTGGATTTGGAGTTACTGGGTCTCCAATCCGTATATGAAATTCGTAACTGGAACCAGAACTGGGTCTCACATTGCGTCAACATTGCATGGGCCGCCATCATTAGAGACATCGAAGAAGTCGACTTATCCTCCCGCAGGAGTTAGTCGATCGAGAGTAAAAGCAAAGTAAAATAATCATCTCAGAGGACATCCATTGGAGTTGAGGACATTCTGTAGAAATCCTGTGTGGCATGAAAGCGTTAGCTTTGTTAAATTGCCCACGGTAAAACTTTGAACTGTGAATATTTTCATCTGTTTGATCCTCAAGTCTTTCATTCATCCCGGAAATGTTATGGCTAAGTGGTGAACCGATCAGGTGCGTCTAGAGGATTAGGTGTTTAGGGTCCATCACTACCCAAGAACTCAAATAAGGAAGTTCGAGTATTAAATGGTGGTACCAGAATGGCATTTCTGTTGTTGAAGAATACTTATGACAAACAAAATCAGCCTAAAGACCGAAGTACAAGTATTCCCCTCTGTAGTTCAACATGTATTGCTGTACGTTTGTGGAATCCTATTACGAGGGATTTACACTTAAAGTTATGAGTTATTCTTCTAATCGAATGGTGAGATTTCTAGCAGAGAACTCAGAAACCGTTGTTTCCACATCATTGGCTACACACGCTCGTTAAACCAATCCATCTCTGGTGATTTCGTACTTCGTGCGTAAATCTCATCGCCACCTGACTAAAGCCGCCTTATCATCGTATTCCTTCGCGAGCTGGTACTGTCGCCGTGGTAGACAATTGAAACTTACTTGAACACCCTACACGAGCACCTTAAGCCGTGATCCGTATACCACGTGGATTGGATCATACCGATTGTTTGCACACTGTCTACAGTTAATCACTTGAGTGTCTGTTCTCGTATCTGGGGGTTTGGGACTCGTCCGATAGCTTACAGCTCCACTCCGGGCTGTGATCTTAGAGTTCATGCGGCTTCAGAAGAGAGAGCAGCTCTGTGCTACCAAAGCTGAATGGCAATTATAGGTTTAAACCTAGGATCTTTCGAATCGGTGCCACTTGAATTGCCTTTTTCGTATAAAGTATGACTCTTGTATCCTTTTGCTGTGCTCATCTCATTTTGTCACCCCGTTACTGCACACCTGCTCCATGATTCTATTGATACAATATAGCCAACTACTTATAGATGTATGCGTTCATGCATTCTTTCCCCTAATTTCCTTTCCGTGCCGTTCCCTCTGATCAGGTACGGGAGAGTCCGGCAAAAGTACATTCATCAAACAAATGCGTATTATTCATGGTGCGGGGTACTCGGACGAAGAGAGGCGCACGTTCATCAAACTTGTGTACCAGAATATCTATATGGCCATGTTTACCATGATCCGCGCTATGGAAAGCCTTCGGATTGCATATGAAAACCCAGCGAATCAGGTTAGTACTATTTACTTGGAGGCCAGCTGGTAGCAATTATAATAACTTTTCACTGTTCTATTACTCGCGTGGTTGAACACTAGCGATTGTGGTCTAACATTTACCGAACTCGGCGGACACACGTCAAACTATAGAAAAACGGGTAATTTTTGACCTCAACATTTGACTTCTCCAAAGGTGCTACCTAGTGCAATGTCACCACTCCACCAGAACGTGGACGTGCTGGCATTAGCGGGGTTAACTGCGTATCTGACCGATGATGTTTATTGGACAAATTATCCCCAGTTGTAGAATTCTTTGTTGCCAATAAGTATTATCGAGTGACCCGACAAAATTTCCTTGGAAGCGCATGACCGGTTTCGCGGTTCTTGCCGTTCATCAGTTTTTTCATGTACTTGTTCTAGGTATTTGGTCCTTGTATTGACTGATGTATTGGTAACTTAACCATAGATTAACGTTTTAACACTTGGCTATTTACGGCCGTTGCTTTGGTGTTCATCGTAGTTTGTTACACTTACTCGGATACGTAACTCCTGATCTTTTATGGTTTTTAACATCTTGAAGCATTTATATCAATTATGGTCAGTGCTAATTACTGTTATTCGTTCTTTAGGCACACGCTGAGGCTATTCGGGAAGTTGATTACGAATCTGTTACCACAATGGACCCACAGCACGTAGTTGCTATCAAGTCCTTGTGGGAAGACCCAGGGATCACCGAGTGCTACGATCGCAGAAGGGAATATCAACTGACTGATTCAGCTAAGTAGTAAGTTTTTTGGCAAATATCGATTATTCATTTTTCACTTTACAATACCCTCGATCGTAGGTCACTCTTCCGGATAGTGAATACCACGCTGTCTGAGTGCGAACAATGAATATGGTGTATATATTTTAAGCTATCCAAGTTCCAGTTTTCAAATACTCTTCTGGTGACATCAAAGCGCATTACGGTCAACCTCACATGATAGCAATCCGGTTATCACATGCGATTCAGGCTCTGGCACCTTTACACCCATGTACTGTAGGCATTTAATTCTTATTATCTTGATATCCATTCGCTTTCTGTCTGTTAACTTATACTCGGTTTCATCTTTACTCAAAGATAAAACTCTAAAAACTATCCTAAACTCATATATTTATCTTAATCTCAAGCCTGTTACTCATCAAGAGGACTGAACCGTCTGCTCAGCTGAGTCTAATGACTAGATAAGGTTTCCTTGACTGCAGGAAGAAATACTTGAATTTCTGGCTGGAGGCTCCTGCAAAAGATGTCGATCACAACCGTCTATATTAGCGTCTGATGGTAATAGGGATCCTTGTGATTCTGCTCTGTCGTCTAACTTTTAGTCTCTCTGTGTTGGAGGTTTGTCAGATCGAACTTCTTGGGCCTTCAGAATGGTCAACAGATATGTTTCGCAGTCACAAATCGGTTTTGAAGAGACCACGGCTTTGAAACGTACTGCTGAACCCGAAGACTAAGGTGTGTGAATTAAAAGCGTCCTAAACTACACGGACACATTTTTCTCGTCCAGCGTCTAGATTTATTATGTCCAGGAATAAGTACGTCGACCAACGGACAAAGGAACGAACCAGAAAAAGAACGATTGCTATTACGAAACCTCCACGATGGTTGTATAGATATGATCCGTAGAGTTGAACGAGAGTGAGAAGCGCACAAACGAGTAAGTGTGAGAGTAAGTGTAAGAAAGTGAAAGTCAACGTGCTGTGACCAACTAAGTGGTCTTGGTCCAGTAGAACAGCAAAGGCTGAATATGGGAAAGGTACATGTGTGGGGAAGGTTGATACTGTCACTGCAGAGCTCCCAATAGAAGGCTAACAAGAGCCTTCGATAAGTGTGCGTGTGGTGCAGTTGATTGTTTTCCGGAAATCAAAATAGTCAATCATTTGTCCAAAATATACTGATAGATCAACATTAGAGGGTAGTCCGGATGATGAGAAGACATATGATCCAAAGAGACGTCTTCAGTCCGTCGAGGTTTCCCTGCTTGCCCCGTTTTAAAAAGGATGGATTTGGAATGGATTAGGCACAGCGGGGTACGAGCCAGTAAAAAATTGACCAGGGCTGTCACAAAAGGTCTTGCATTCTCTTACAGTGCTGGATCGGTGGGTAGTTGGGGTAAGTTATAGACGTAGCGTATCTCTTCTACCGTTGGGTTTCTAGTGTTTGTTCCGTCGATTTGCTTTTCTCCGCAAGTTGTGTTCCTGAGAGGAAAACGTCGACGCAGCCGTTGTTGAAGCTGATCCGTATTGGCAAATACAAATGAAAAAAAAAAATGTTTTGTTTTGTTTTGAGAAAAACGCTAGGACAGTGAGCAACAATATACTCTACGTCACGGTTTTTTCATGGTCGGGGTTAGCTATGAGCACAAAAAACCAAGATAGAGTTAAGTAAGATCTACTTAGGACAGAAGAAAAAACGTTCGTTAAGTTGGTAGAGAACTGTGTTAGAAGTAGAAACGTACGGGTTTACGGACTTCGCAACCGCAGCGGTTGTGCTTTACCAAAGTCGACGGTGGTGTTGAGTGCTGGCTCTCTGCGGGTGTGGGGAACACCAAGGCTACAGAGAATCCGTAGCTGGAGTAGGGGTATCAGAAGAAGCTATATTTTCCAAGAACACCGATTTGAGTCGATCTTAACTAACGGACTCCTCGCCGTAAGCTTATGTTGCGTAATTGTATTTACACGTGATAACCTTTTGTGGACCGATGTACGGGGATTGTAGAAGTGTACGGGTACCATTTGCTACCGCGCGGCAGCAGCGTGCACCTTACGCATATGATATACGAGCCATTGTGCGGAATCTGCGTTGTTAAAGCTATGCTGGGGCTTAGGTGAAACGACATCTCGCGGGAGACGTGACATGCAGCCAAACTCCAGTGCAGCCGGTATAGTGTGCAAGTCAACTTTTACCGTATTCTGAGGGCTGCTACGAGTTGTTTATGGAAACGCTCGACCAGGCCGTTGGCATCCGGATGATATGCGGTTTTGCGAGCGTGTTTACACCCTAACATAGTGAGTAACGCTTTGAATGACCCTTCGAAACGAGAACCTCTATCGGTGGTAACGGTCGCCGGGCAGCCATAGGTTTCTACCCGACGCTTCAAAAACCTCTTAGCTGTCGTTTCGAATGAGCAATAATGAATTGAGATTCCCTCTGACTAACGGCAGAAGCAGTTAACATCAGGTATATGAAACTGTCTGACGGTGGTGTTCATCATAATCGAACAGCGAAGTACAGTGAAGCGAACTTCACTGAACGCTGCCACACTCGCAATGCTTAAAATTTAAGGTGTACAGGGATTGGATCTATTTTGAGGGAGGGAGAAGAAGGTGAGCCACTGGTCAACACAGTTCTCACTCGAACTCTGCATACATACCGTTTCAAGCATTCTGACCTGCTAAGAAACGACAACAAGAACGCCACTGCTGCCGGTTCGCTGCCATGTCCTTCAATGTCTCCAACCAACCAGTTGTGGAGTCTTTCGGACCCCAACCTGGAAGGCGAGAGACACCTACTTTACCTAATGGCTCTGTGCATTTCTTCATGCCTCATCTCCACGTCATCT